TCCCCCACAGTTCTATCAGTGGTCTTGGCCAGAGTGCTTGTTTAGCATATGAGACACCTGGGGTGATCTCTAGTACCCAAAATGAAACAAATAAAAAGGAAAAGCACAGAAATCAAAATCCACAGGGCTCAAAGGCAGATTAGTGGTTGCCAGGGACTGACTGGGAGAAAGAATAGGGAGTAAGTATTGATGGCTCAGGGGTCCCTTTGGGACCATGAAAATGTTTTGACACTATACAGAAGTGGTAGTTGTGTGACACTGTGAATCTGTGTAATGCTACTGACTATGTAATGCTACTTTTCACCTTAGTATTAGGAATAAACTCAGGGCTTCACACATGCTGGGCAAACATTCTACCACCGACCCACACCCCTAGCTCTTTTTATTTTTTTGAGTATCCATAGTATCCATAGTATCCAAGGTATCCATAATTCACTAAATTATTTATGGGACTTGAATTTTTAATGTTCCTACCTCAGTCTGATAGAATCACAGTTGTGTGCCATCAGGCCTATCTCTTCTAGAAATTCTGAGGGAGAATTTGCCCTGTTGACTGTCTACTAGCTTCTTGTGACTTCTAGCAACCCTTAACATTTCCCAATTTATACACAGAATTCTAATCTCTGCTTCTATCTTTTTTTAAAAATTTTATTTAAAAGGAAAAAGAGAAAAAAACAAAACAAAACAAAGCGGTGTAAGGGTACAAGTAATAAAGAACTACAAAAAAAAAAAAAAAAAGTAAAAAATCACCAGTTAATAGATTACATATTATCATCTTAGAGATAGTTGCTCAAGTCACAGTATCAAAGCATACAAAGTGGACATTCAAACAGTGAGACTGCAAACAGTTGTGTTCAATGATCCAACCAAAAACATTAATATGGTCAGCTATTTAACACCCCTAAACACACTTGCTGTTGTAACTTTTAGAGCACTTTTTTCCTTCTCTTTTTTACAACAAAATTTACACATTTTGTGTTTTATTACTCCTTAGTTCTTCTTATTTTTTTTTTTTTTGGGAGAGAATAAAGTCAAATATGGCAAAACAAAGCTGTCAGTTAAAACCAAGGATAGACATAGCACATGATGTAAAACAGAGTACAAGGTTATCAACAATGGTTACCATAATGTCTCGTTTCCTTAAAAAGAATTATCTCATTAGGTATTAAAAGTTGAACAAAACAGTACAGAACAATAAAACTTAAGCATTGTAAACATTACAGGACTTCCAAAGGAGACAATAGTCAAACCAAAATGGGCATCTTAGTGAATCTTATTGCCTTCAAAGTAGTTGCCTATACCCTCAAACTTGATACTATCATACAGAATGGAACAGAGTCTAATCAGTCAAAACAAGATAGTGGGAGTATTACAGGACTTCAAAACAAGTTAATATGAAATCAAAAAAAGTTACTATTATATATCCTGCTAATTTTAAAATTTTTACCCTTAATTAAAAAAACCATAAAAAATAACTAAATAATTTTTTTAATGAATAAGGGAGAGACTGAGATAAAAGAGGACATAACAATATAACAATATAGGTCAAAGCATGACTGTTTCAGCAACCTAGTGCTTCACCACCAAATAACCTGACTTAATAGTAGTTACCATAGTGGTCTTTTTCCTTGAAATATTTGAATAAAACTTCATATACTATAGCTTCAAATATTTCCATATCAAGAAGCCCAGAATAAAGCCTTTCCAATTAATAAGTGAAAACTTTATAAGGCTTCAAGGCCACATAATGGGGAGTCATGATTACCACATATTTTTATATATTTGAATCATTACATTAGGGAAACTTCGGTATTCACACATGCGAGATTGATTTATTTCACTTATGAGTATGGTCTCAAGCTGCGCCCATTTATTGATAAATATCTCAATGTGATCCTTCTTTATAGCTGAATAATACTCGATTGTATAGAAATACCACAACTTTTTTATCCATTCCTCAGTTGATGGACACTTGGGTTGTTTCCAAGATCTGGCGATTACAAATTGTGCTGCTATAAACATAGGTGCACATATATCACTGTGGTATGATGCTGTCAGTTCTTCTGGGAATATGCCTAGGAGTGGAATAGCTGGAATAAATGGGACTTCCAATCCCAGCTTTTTGAGAAATCTCCAGACTGACCTCCACAAAGGTTGTACCAGTCTACATTCCCACCAACAGTGTAGGAGAGTTCCTTTTTCCCCACAGCCTCTCCAGCATTTGTTGTTGGTTTTCTTGATCCTGGCCATTCTTTCAGGAGTGAGATGGTACCTGAGTGTGGTTTTCATTTGCATTTCTCTAATGACCAATGATGATGAACATTTTTTTTATGTATTTATTTGCCATTTGTATTTCTTCATCTGAGAAGTGCGTATTCATCTCAGATGCCCATTTTTGGATTGGATCTTTGAATTTTGGGGGTCTGAGTTTTTTTAATTCTTTATATGTTTTAGACAAGAGTCCCTTGTCTGAGATAATCTCTGCTTCTGTCTTTACATGTGTTCTCCCATGTATGTATCTCTTTTTTCTAAAAAGTTTTTATTGTACATGTTTGTATTACATAATGATTACATTCCTCATAGAGTGTTGGTGAATGATACAACACATCCTAATTCATTTTATGTCTCCCTCCCTGTTTTTCTTTGAGACAGAGCCTTACTATGTAGTTCAGGCTGGTCTTAAACTCACTACACAGCCCAGGCTGGCCTCAAACTCACAACAATGTGCCTGCTTCAGTGTAGAACATCATGCCTGGCTTTCTTCTGTTTTTTAAAAAAAGATTTCACTACTTGGCCTAGGCTGGCCTCAAGTGCACTATGTACTTCAGGCTGCACTCGGATTCACAATCCTCCTGCCTCAGGCTCTAGAGCTGGGATTATAGGTGTGTGTAAACACATCCTCTTTTCGTGCCTCCTCCTGTGTATGTGTGACATGGGGATGAAACCCAAGGTTGAACAAAACAGTACCCAGCCTTTAATTAAAAAAAATTTTTTTTGTTTTGTTTTGAGACAGGTCTCATTAAGTACTAACTTGGCCCAGCTGGGCTCAAATTTGTCTCAGCCTCCCAGAGTGCTGGTATCACTGTCATATGCCACCACCATATCCAGCTTGACAAATGTCCTACTAAAAGGAGAAGACATTTTAAAAAAAGGCCATGTGAAGACAGATTAGGCTGGGTAGCCACAAGATGTTTTAAGGAAATGGCTAGGGAGGGGTGAAACTTGAAGGTGGGAAAAAGAGCCATAGAGTTTGAGGAAGGAATACAGGTGTTCCTGTGTAGATAGGTGTCCAACTGGGGCGATGGGGAATTGTCACAAACCTTGCCTCAAAGGCCAGGAAGAGACAGCCTCCGTAAAGGCTGGCAAGGAGCAGAGGCACAAGGCTTGGCCCTTTGGGAGGTAGCCAAGGTGTACTCCTAGCCCACCATATTTGTCCAGTTTGAGCTTCTCAGGGGGCTCGAATGACATTCAGTCCCAAACTAGTCCTTTCTGTGCCAATCCCAACAGGCTCCCCAACTTCACCTGCACGGATCTCTCTTGTCCCAGGGCTCCCTGTGTTGCCTGCACTTACCCCATCTGGACAAAAGGAAGCTAGTAGCAGGGGAGGCCACCGCAGAGTGCCAGGGGACCAGCCTAGCTGCAGTCACTACCACTTATCTTTTATGTGTCTTCTTCACTCTTTAGATTCCAATTCAGCCTCAGGGCCTTTGCATTTGTTTCAGCCCAAACTGTTCTTGGTGCAGGAGCTAGTAGGTAGCTGTTCTTTACCACTTTTAAAACTGTTTCGCAGCGCCCGGTACTTGAGCTACACTCCCGGTCTCACTATTTTGATGTGTTGTCCTCGGGACCTTAGATTTGTTCTAGGAGCCAGGGTAGGTAAGGATTACTCAAAAAGTACTCGGTGAAAGTCTGTAAAGGTTAATTCTTTCAAAGTGGCCGCCAGGCACCAATAGGGCTCGCCTTCCTTTGAAGCTGGAAAGTGGGGGTTGCAGCCTGGGGGAGGGTGGGACGGCCAGTCTTGGAGCCTTCTTTTGAGGCAGGAAAAGGGGTGTGTGTGTGTGTCTGTTGCAGTCTGGGCCAGAGGGAGGGGCAGCCCGGGGCCACTCCGATTGAACAATGGCAGGGCGGGGACAGAATCCCAGACTGCTCCCCGGCCGCCGGGAATGTTGATTACATCCAGGCATCTGGGGTTCGATAGAGGGGGCAGCGCCGGGGTCTGATCCTGAACTCGAGGTCCTAGCGCTGCCCATGGCTGGGTACTCAAGGGCCAGCTTCCGTTACGCGGGGTCTTTCGGAGGATTTCCGCCTGCGGGGTCCTGCTTTAATTTACTCTTAGAGGTCCCTTCTCCTCACTGATCCTTCTCTCTAATGATCCTGTGTAGCTCATCCTGCTTCTCTCTCGGAAAAGCACCAAAGTAGAAGAGTGGCTGGCTTAAAATATGGAGAAAGGACTTTTGGAGGCTGGAAGGAATTTTAGAGACTGGCCGCCTGTAGCTCTTGGTGATCTGCGTGATTTGTCAAGGTCTGGTGTTCCTCAAGTTAACAAGCGGGTTAAACACCCCCCCCCCCTTCAGAGGTACAGCACACTTCTCCACCGAGGCGCATCGCCCAGGGCCCCCGCCCCGCCAACTGCCTAGGGGTCCACCCCTCTGCCGAGCTGACAGTGACTCCAGGCCGGAGACAGCGCAAGCCTGCGGAGCAGGAAGCGACCAGGGTGGAAGTTTGTACTGTACCATGCGCATGGGCGTCTAGTTGCCACATCTAGTGTGCTCATGGTCGGAGCTAGAGAAGTCTCGCTGTGGCAACAGATCACACGCCTGGCCAGTCCTAACGGGAGGTGATTTTACAGACGTCCCGCCCCTCGATCCGCAGGATTGGCCTGCAGGGGAGTGCTACACGCATGCGTACTCTTGGCCAACTCCGAGGGAGGGATGGATGAGTCTTTCTCCGCCTCCCGGTGTAGCGCCCAAGGCGCGTGCGCACTCACAGCGGCGCCAGTTATTTCTGTCCCGCCCCCAGATCGTGGCTCTTTCTGCAAGCGGGAGCTCTGTCGAGCGGTTCTGCTCTTAACGCTTGATTTGAGGGTCATTTGGGCGGCAGTACGGGCGGGACTGTGCAGAGGAGATCGGGCAGGAGTCGGCTGACCCTCGGCAACGTCTGGCGCGCGGCGGGCAGCAGCTGAACGAACGCGTGGCGGTGCTTGGCCTCGCGGCGGCGGCGATAGCGCCAGCGGCAGCGGCAGCGGCCCAGCCGTTGGCGGCGAGCGTGTGTGCGCCTGCGCAGCGGGCCCTGTGCCCCTCCTCCCCGTCCCCCGGCGGCGTGTGAATGGCGGCCTCGGCGGCGGCGGCTTCCGCGGCAGCGGCTTCGGCCAGCCCGGGGCCTGCTGAGGGCTCTGCTGGTGGCGAGAAGTCCGCGGGCGCCGCCGCGGCTGCGGCATCGGCGTCTGCCTCGGCGTCGTCGCCCTCAGGGAGTGGCGATGAGGCTCTGGAGCTGCTGGAGCACTGTGGCCTGTGCCGAGAGCGCCTGCTGCCGGAGCGCGAGCCGCGATTGCTGCCCTGTCTGCACTCGGCCTGCAGTTCCTGTCTCGGGCCCACCGCGCCCGCCGCCGCCAACAACGCGGGGGACGGTCCGGCGGCGAGTGATAACACCAGTGAGTTAGGGCGCGCCCCTCCCCCGGCCTCTGATCTGGCGCTCGGGACTGCTGCGCCTGTGCAAGCCCGAGCTCGGTGGGCTGGAGCGCTGGATGCGTTAGGTGCGCGGTGCTGTGTGCGACCTGGGTTGGGCCGGGCCGGGGCTGGGATCCACTGGTAGTCACCTCATTGTGAGGCCATAGGAAGGAATAACCCAGGGCGGTGGGGTTGTGGGTATGTGCTGGGGGAGCGTGCAGGCCTCTAATGCCGGCTGCCTCCGCAGTGGTGGACTGTCCGGTTTGCAAGCAGCAGTGTTCCTCCAAAGACATCGTGGAGAACTACTTTATGCGCGACAGTGGCAATAAGGCTGCCTCGGACGCACAGGACGCGAACCAGGTGCGTTCTTTGCAAGAGGATGGACATGAGCCTCTGTCCTAGAGGATCTGGGTGGGCTTTATAGCTGAGGTCAAAGACCCACCTTAGCTTGTATTTCTTGGAAGATAAATGGAGGTCTTAGGGTTGTCTTCTTTCTCTGACGCTACTGTTTTTCTTTTTTTCTTGACAGTGTTGCACTAGCTGCGAGGATAATGCCCCAGCCACCAGTTATTGTGTAGAGTGTTCTGAACCACTGTGTGAGACCTGTGTGGAGGCTCACCAGCGTGTGAAGTACACTAAGGACCACACTGTGCGTTCCACTGGTAAGTAAAAGGGTACCTGTTGCAGCTCTCTTTTGTGTGTCTTCTTAGCACATCTGATGCTGATGTGCATTTGGTAATAGGTCTTAGGGTTGTTACCTAATGGGTAGCATCTGAAAGATCTGGATAGGTAACTTAGAAACAAAGAATCCAGGCTCCTTGCAGGGTCTCTAGGAGTTTAGTCAGAGAGGAAAGGCTATGGGGCAGTGGAGGCCCAGCGAGTCTCAGTATGCTGCAGGTACACAGGATTCAAGGACTTGCTACCTGAGAATCCCTAGAGAGTGGATCCTGGGGTTGGATAGCACATACAGGAAGTGTAAGATGTGAAGAGACACTGGATTTGAGATTTCCCTGGCACGTGGATTATTTGGATTATTCAAGGGAAAGTGAAGTTTCAAGCATTCACACCTCTTGTTCTAGTAGTGGTGATACTAGGAAGTGTCTCTACCTTGTTGGCAGCATTCTACTCAAAGGTTTTTGATATTTCTAGGGATTTCCTGGTTTGGCTTTTGTTAGGGAAAGGCGCTTGAGAGGCTGCTAAGTCTGGCCCTTGTTTTGGTCAGAATCTTTTTTTTTTTTTGTACTGGGGATTGAACTCATGACCTCAAGCTTGCCAAGCAGGCCCCTATATCACTGAGCTGAATCCCCACCTTGGTCAGAATTTGATGAACAGTTCTTTTTGAGACAAAGTCTCACTGTTGTGGCTGGCCTTGAACTCACTTTGTAGCCCAGGCTGGCCTTGAACTTGCTGGAATTCTCCACCTATAGTCTTCCAAGTGCAGGGGTCACAGGTGTGCGCCAGTACAACTAGCCATAACCTAATTCTTGATTCTGTGGTGCATCTCTTCCATCTTAGGGCAGTACTGATGAAAAGATGATAGTAGAGAATGGTGGCTGTGAGGCTTAAAAGAGCAAGAAATGGCAAGAGCCTGCAGTGTTCGTACCTTCCAGAGATGCCAAACCAGGGTTGTTTGTTCCTTGGTGCTGGAGGGGGTGGCATTTGGGAAGCCAAGGTCTAGTTGATCTGTACTCTATGCAGTTTGGGTGTAACTGATACAGTTGGGCTTGATTAGCATTGGAGAAGAGGACTAACAAGGTTCATGTGATGAGCACAGATTATGGGAGTTACTGGTGTGTTTGGTCCTTGGGTGGAATGATATCAGAATCTTTCCCTAGAAAGGGAATTTTGTGTGAGTGTGGTGGCTCACGCCTGTAATCCCAGCACTTAGGGTGGGAGGATCGTTGAGAGTTTGACACCAGCCTGGGCTACAAAGCGAGCTCAAGGCCCGCCTGAACTGCATGGCAAGACCTCATCTCAAAAAAGACACACACACACACACACACAAAAGGGAACCTTTACACTCTTCTGAGGGTCCCTGTCTAAAATCTTATCTTTCTTAGGTTAAGACTTTGCAAAGTCTTGTGTGAGTCCTTGAGTTAATAAGAAACTTTATCATTCTTACTGTCAGAGAAAGGGAAAGATTATCTGAAAAGAGGAAAAGAGCCTGTTGGAGGTTATTTTTTTGGCAAAAATTCTGAATTTGTCCACCTGGACAGATAGGCTTCTGGTATAGGGAACAGCAAAGGGGAGTTCTCTACTGATGAGATTGTCATCTTTATTTTGTATGTTACATCTGCAGAAGCTAAAACAAGTAAATACTTATCTTGGCAGGCTAGGGAAGAAGATTCTCTAAGGAGCTGCCACTACCACAGGCCTCCTAAGTCTTTACACAGGTCAGGGTGCTAAGACAGAAGAATGTAAACCCTGAGCTATGTCTACTTTCTGAGTTTGAACTGCTCAAGGAAAGTGTTCAGCCTCATGTTTCCTGCTCCCCAGGCCCTGCCAAGTCCCGTGATGGTGAGCGCACTGTTTATTGCACTGTGCACAAACATGAACCTCTAGTGCTATTCTGTGAGAGCTGCGATACCCTCACCTGTCGAGACTGCCAGCTCAATGCTCACAAGGATCATAAGTAAGTTCCGAGGCTCAGTGAGTAGGTAGTTGGATGCTACCTATTTCCAGGCCTTACGTGCAGGCCCATCTGCTTGTTTTTAGGTACCAGTTCCTGGAGGATGCAGTGAGAAACCAGCGCAAGGTCCTAGTCTCAATGGTGAAATGCCTTGGGGACAGACATGCTACACTGCAAAAGAGCACCAAGGAAGTCTGGAGCTCGTAAGTATGGGTGTCAGGCCTGCGGGGAGCCTCAGGATAAGATGGTTCCTTCCTAACTTAACTTGTCTTGTTCCCTAGGATCCGCCAGGTGTCTGATGTGCAGAAGCGTGTGCAGGTGGATGTCAAGATGGCCATCTTGCAGATCATGAAGGAGCTGAACAAGCGGGGCCGTGTGCTGGTCAATGATGCCCAAGTAAGCCACATGGATGTGGGAGAGATGCTGGCTCCCTTCTTGGTGAAGAACCCTGCTGTCTTATTTTTTTTCCTAATGACTTTTTTCCGTAACCTGTAGAAAGTGACTGAAGGGCAGCAGGAGCGCCTGGAGCGTCAGCACTGGGCCTTGACCAAGATCCAGAAGCATCAGGAACACATTCTGCGGTTTGCTTCTTGGGCTCTTAAGAGTGACAACAACACAGCGCTGCTGCTTTCTAAGAAACTGGTGTGTAGTGCTGGCTGTAGCCAGAGTGGCCCCAATATACTGGATCTGTTTGGTCCCAAAGTGCTCATGCCCCACTTGACTTCTTTCCCCAGATCTACTTCCAGCTGCACAGGGCCCTCAAGATGATTGTAGACCCTGTAGAGCCTCATGGTGAGATGAAGTTCCAGTGGGACCTCAACGCCTGGACCAAGAGTGCTGAGGCTTTTGGTAGGTGCTGGTCTTTGTTTTGTGCAAAACTGGACCCTGCAGGCAAAGATATATCTTGAGGTTGAGAGTCAGTAGCCCACACTTTCTTCCTTTGCTATTCCAGGGTGTAGTCAGCATGGTGAAGGTAGGGTTTGTGGGCAGCTGATTCAGGGGTTGGCAGAGCTCATAGCTGAAGCCTGGGTCTTTGTGTTGACCTGCAGCCCCAACCCATTTTTGTTTGCCTTTTTTTTTTTGGTCTTTTTGAGCCCAGGGCTGCATTGCACAGTTCCCACTGTCCTTGAACTCACTTTGTAGCCCAGGTTGGTCTCAAATTTGCAACAATCTTCATGCCTCAGCCTCCCTAGTTCTGGGATTACAGGCATGTTCCACTATGCTCAGTTTATGTTTACTTTGTTTTGTCTTTTTGAGATAAGATGTCACTATGCAGTTCAGGCTGGATTTGGGCTCACTTTGTAGCCCAGGCTGGTCTTGAACTTGTAATAATCCTCTTGCCTCAGCCTCCCAAGAGCTGGAATTACAGGAGTTAGCCACCAAGCCTGATTTATGCTTGCTTTTTTTTTTTTTTTTTTTTTTTTGGTACTGGGGATCGTACTTATGACTTCGTACTTGCAAGGCAGGCACTTATGCCTATGCCGCTGAGCTAAATCTCCAGTCCTATGCTTACTTTTATATATTGATTGGTACATTCTAATTTATATATCTTTACTTGATACAACGTGGTTCTTTTTTTTTTTTTTTTGTCCTATCATTGCCACGACCTCCCTTTAATTCCGCTTTTTTAAACTTTTTACCTATTTTTTTGGTTTTTGACTCATTGTAGGCCAGGCTAGGCTCAAAATTTGAGTTGATCCTCCTGCCTCAATCTCCCAAGTGCTGGGATTATAGGTGTTGTACCACCACACCTGGCTCAGGCTGGTTTTGAACTCACTGTGTAGCCTAGGCTGGCCTTGAGCTCCTGCCTCAGCCCCCACCGTGCTGAAATTACATGTGTGTACTACCACGTAGGGGATTATTTTAATTACTGAATTGGGGTCTCAGTAAATTGCTCAGGCTGGGTTGGATTGAAAATTGTGATCCTGGGCTGGGGATTTACCTCAGTGGCATAAGAGCCTGCCTGGCAAGTGCAAGGTCATGAGTTTGATCCCTGGTACCATTAAAAAAAAAAAAGACAATTGTGATCCTTTTGCCTCAGCTTCCTAGTGCTGGGAGATTACAGGTTTACTTCATGCCTAGCTGGGTTCCAGTCTTTGGCCTTCACTTTTTTTTTTGGTACTTTGGATTGAACTCGAGACCTTGGGCATGCTAGGCAGGCACTCTACCACTGAGTAACATCCTCAGTCCTGCTCTGCCTTCTTAGCAGTCCAATTGCTGCACCTACTTAGGTTTCTGTCTTCTTCAGGCAAGATTGTGGCTGAGCGTCCTGGTACCAACTCCACAGGCCCTGCACCTATGGCTCCCCCAAGAGCCCCAGGACCCCTGAGCAAGCAGGGTTCTAGCAGTAGCCAGGTGAGCAGAGATGGGTAGACCAGGGATGGGTAGAACATTGAGTCCATTGAGTTTTTGTTTTCCTGAGGTCCACTACTGTGTTCTGTTGTAGCCCATGGAGGTACAGGAAGCCTATGGCTTTGGGTCAGGTAAGCAGGTCTACCTAGGGTAACGGGGGCAAATCTGTGGCATGAGTGCTGCAGCAAACAACTTGTTTTGTGAAAAGTCTAAAAGGTTTGCCATTACTGGCCTAAGGTAGGGCAGTACCCCAGTGAGTGCCTGCATGCGTCTACCTTCAGCCTGCCGTTCCCTTCTTTGTCTTTTGAGCAGATAACCCCTACTCCAGTGCAGAGCCCCATGTGTCTGGCATGAAGCGGTATGTGTATGGTGGTCCCTTGGGTGGTGGGTAGGTCAGGTGTAGGTTGGCTATGTTCATACCAAGTGTACCTATAGGTCGCGCTCTGGCGAGGGTGAGGTGAGTGGCCTCATGCGCAAGGTGCCACGTGTGAGCCTAGAACGTCTGGACCTGGACCTTACAGCTGACAGCCAGCCGCCCGTCTTCAAGGTCTTTCCGGGCAGCACTACTGAGGACTATAACCTTATTGTTATTGAGCGTGGTGGTGCTGCTGCAGCTGCCGGTCAGCCTGGAACTGCACCCCCTGGAGTACCTGGCGCTCCACCCCTCCCTGGCATGGCCATTGTCAAGGTTAGCCTGTTCCAGAAGACCATGATGGAAGGGTGCCGTCTTGTCACTTACATGTAGATCCTCTTCAATATCCTTTATCATCTTTTATTTAGGAGGAAGAGACAGAGGCTGCCATTGGAGCCCCTCCTCCTGCTACTGAAGTTCCTGAGACCAAGCCTGTGCTGATGGCTCTAGCTGAGGGCCCTGGCTCTGATGGCCCCCGCCTAGCTTCACCTAGTGGAAGTACTAGCTCAGGCCTGGAGGTGGTAGCTCCTGAGGCTACCTCGGCCCCAGCTGGTGGTCCAGGAAACCTAGATGACAGTGCCACCATTTGCCGTGTCTGTCAGAAGCCAGGTGACCTGGTCATGTGCAACCAGTGCGAGTTTTGCTTCCACCTGGACTGCCACTTGCCTGCTCTGCAGGATGTACCAGGGTGCGTGTGAGGCTGGGTGTGGTGTCAGTATGGAGTGGGGGGCTGGACAGGGTCCTGTGATTCCTCATTTTTCACCTAGGGAGGAGTGGAGCTGCTCACTCTGTCATGTACTCCCTGACCTGAAAGAGGAGGATGGCAGCCTAAGCATGGATGGTGCAGATAGTGCTGGTGTGGTAGCCAAGCTCTCAACAGCCAACCAGCGGGTAAGGGACCAGCTATTCAAATATGGGTGTTCCAGTGGTTTTACACTCATGCATTCTGCAGCCCTGACCTGTCCTGTCCCATTTAGAAATGTGAACGCGTCCTCCTGGCTCTCTTTTGCCATGAGCCCTGCCGTCCCCTGCACCAGTTGGCTACGGACTCTGCTTTTTCCATGGTGAGTGCATCTTGGAACAGCGAACAGGAAAAGAAAGTGTGGGACGTTGGGTCTCACCTTCAAAGCATCTGTCATTTTTGCCTGCAGGAGCAGCCTGGTGGCACCCTGGACCTGACCCTGATCCGTGCTCGCTTGCAGGAAAAGCTGTCACCCCCTTATAGCTCCCCCCAGGAGTTTGCCCAGGATGTGGGTCGCATGTTTAAGCAGTTTAACAAGCTAACGGAGGTGAGCATGAAATGTGGGAGGCCATGACCTATATAGGACAGGGCAAGTATGTGTTTGGGGGAAATAGAAGTTAGGACCCACCCATCCATTATACCCTTGCTTGGCCTAGGACAAGGCAGATGTGCAGTCCATCATCGGCCTGCAGCGTTTCTTCGAGACGCGCATGAATGAGGCCTTCGGTGACACCAAGTTCTCTGCTGTGCTGGTGGAACCCCCGCCTTTGAGCTTGCCCAGTGCTGGTCTAAGTTCCCAGGAGTTGGCTGGTGGTCTTGGTGATGGTCCCTGAAGCTGGGCCCCCTATGGGCAGCTCAGCCCTGTTCGGTGTCCTGTCACTCCCATCCTACCCCCTTGTGGCCTGACTCCCACTTCCTGATGGTCCCATCCCCCAGTCCCTCACAAAATGGTTTACTTCTGTGGGTTTAATAAAAACTTCACCAGTTCAGACAGGCCGTGGCTGCTTAGGGGCTGTGGTCCTGGTCTCTGAACGTTTGCTCCGCACCATAAAGCATTGGTAATCACCAAGAATCTTTTTTGTGCCTCGTTGAACCTGTATGGGTGCCAACAGGATGGGGGGAGAAACTCTTGGGTCTTTCTTGCATTCGGGGTGTGTGGGGGTGCAGGTAACCTCTTAAGGGATATGCAAACCAGAAGCTGTCGAGAGGACCTTGGTGGGTAGGCCTGGGCTGCAGGCCTGAAAGGTACTTTCAGTTCGTCACATCTTACGGCAGCCACATTCTTCAGCATTTGGGTTTTCCTCTTGGAGCTCTTATCAGACAGGTGTGCAGTTCTAGGCATTTCTCCTTGTCCTTTCTTGCTTAGGCTTTTTGGTAACTGTTTATGCCTATGCTTCCAGTCTGCTGTCTAGCTGAGCTGTAGTGGTATATCCAAGTGGGGTTATTGACTCCTGTTGATCTAGACAGCTTTTTACTTTTTTTCATGGTAATGTGAATAGAACAGAGGACACTAGCCCTGAGCTAACTCCCCAGCCCTTTATTTTTGAGAAGTCTTGCAAAGAAGTGGAGCTTCAATTCATGAGCCCCCTTCCTCTAGCCTCTCCAAGTGTTGGGATAAACAGGCATCTGGAACCATATCTGGTTTGAAATTTTCATTAAGCCATTACATCACTGAGACTTTGCTCACTGTTGAAATGGTATATGCAGGGCCAAACTTGACAATGCTACTCATGTGTTGCGAGGGGTCCACCACTTTGGAAACTTGGGTACTTAGAAGGGCTTTTCTACCCCTGTCCCAATGCCCTAACCAGGGACATAACCTGGCCCCATGAATGCCAGTCACACCAGCTTGAGGGTTAGCATTCAATTTCATTTATTACAGATGGGTGTGATAAAGATGCTGGGTGTCCATTCTGCCTCTTCTCTAGTGGCAGGGTAGGTGGTCAGTCTCTCCGAAGGTTCTTAAGTCTTTCTTCTAGGTCTGCATCCGCATCAGCCAGTGCTGAGGCTGTAGCCTCTGCTTTCTTCCCACCAGCAGCCACACTGAGTGAGCCTCCAGTGGAGGGGAGATCTGTGAGGAGAGTGGATGTTGGAGCATATCAGGGGCTGTCTGTGTGTGTGACTCAGGTTGGAAATGAAATGGGTCTCTGTGACACTCACTTGACAGCTCGTCAGTCAGGCTCAGTCCCAGCTCATCCAGGACCTGGGATACTACAGCATCACTAAGGAAGAGAAAGAACCTGATGAGGGCTATGTGTGGGTGAAGACAAGCATCCCCACCTTCCCACCCAGTTTCTTCATACCTCTCTTCTTCATCTTCCTCATCTCCCATGGCATCATCGATGGCATCATTCATCATCTCCTCCTTCATGTCCATGATCTCTGCCTGCCGCTCAAACTCCATCATGATCTTCTGGATCTGGGGCAATTTCAGCTGAAGTAGGGGGAGAGGGTGAGAGTTTGGTCTTTGAGGGTCAGTGAGGTGGGGGAGGGGAATTGGGAGAGATACCTGTCTGTTCATGGTGCCCATGGCCTTGGTGACCCCCTTCATCGCTTGTGCCATTGAGTTGTTGGACTTAAGTGTCTGTATCTTTAGGGACACAGCCTGGATGTTGGCGCGCATCAATACAAACTTGCGCACATAGCGTCGTGTTCGCACTAGGTCTTTTGCCATGATGCGCACAGCATCCTGTAGAGTGGATAACAGTGTGACACATTTTGAGAATCAGGCTTCATTCAAAGTTAATCCCAGCAGTCAAGTTCTTCCCTTCTGATTTCACCTGCCTCCCTTTCCCCTTAGGAGTCCCCCCTCCTCTCCCCAGTTAAACACCCTGTTTCTGGTCCCAATCTGGACAGAGAACCTGCTTTGGCTGGGACTAGCTTAGAGACAGTACTTGCCTAGCATGGTGTAAATGTCTGGGTCTGATCCTCAGCACTTGGGGATTATGAGTTTGGCCAACCTGGGCTACACAGCAAGATGGGAAAAGGGAAAAAAAAACCAAAAAAAACTCCACAAAACTTAAAAGGCTCTATTACTATTCTCATTCTGGCTCTTTTCACTGGTGTTTTGGCTAAAGCCTTTGTAAGAATGCTTTTCAGTACTGGGAACTGAACTCAGGACCTTTCAAGCATTTAAACTTTTTTTCTATTGTAGCAAAATGTGACACATGCATGTGGTAATTCTAGTACTCTGGGAGAGATAAGAGGCAGATGAGCCAGCGTGGGCAATTTAGCAAGATCCTATCTTTAAAAAGAGGCTGTGAGCTGGGTGTGGAGGCACATGTCTGTGATCCCAGCACTTGGGAGGCTGAGGCAGGAATATTGAGTTTGAGACCAGCCTGAGCTATAGTGAGCTCATGGTCAGCCTGCACTGCATAGTGAGACCTTCCTTGTCTCAAAAAGCATCTTCTCCTTCCCAAAAAAACCCCGCAAAAAACTGCAGTCCTCTTGCCTTGTTCGTTCAGAGTGCTGATATTACTGGTGTGAATGGCTATATGCAACTTCGAAGCTTATTTTGGTCACTTTCCATCTGTGCCCACTATTTACACAATTCTTGGTGTGGCATGTCCACTTCACAGCTCACTTTTTGGCTCTCAGATTGCTAAAGCTAACACTTCCTTATTGGGCCTGCCTGATACAGCCAAGGGCCAAATCTTCAGAAGCTCAATCTTTTACCATTCCAAGTCTTAGCTGATGGAACTTTGAAGAAGGCCTTTTCAGACTGCTAAACTATGGAGAAAGCACTGCTCCACTTTCACTCAGCATTTGTCAAAGAACTTGGTGTTCTGTCTCATGCCCTTTGTCCCAGCCCCTGACCATGGGCACTTACCATCTGCCCCTGTTTGGCCATCTTTTTGATGTCTGCAATGATTTTCTTCTCCTGGGTCTCCAGTTTCTGTCGCTCCCGATCTAGCTCTCGCATGGCACGATTTAGAGCCCTCTGGTTCTGGCGCAGCAGCTCCTCTGGCGTCTTCCGGCGTCCAAACAACAGGTCCATGGTTAAGAGTACAATGGCAGGTCTGGGAGAGTAAGGCTGAGCTGTAGGGGGTGGAGCCCAGAAGGACTAATAAGAGGCAAAACATTCGTGCAGGGGATGCGTGGGGACAGAAGGTATGAAACAGCAGAAGGGAGCAGCCCTCCCCTATACGGAAGGATAGTAGATCTGAAAAATAATCCCCTATGTTGGCCTAAGCCTTCCTCCATCCCTTTGCCCACACGGATATCGGGGCCTAAAGTTCAGCTTTTTAGTCAAAGGTTTGGCTTTCGCATCTTGGAATGGCGCTAGCAAAGGACAAAGTGGACCACTACTGTATTTGGGACCCTGAGCACAGCAGTCAGGACAGCTTTGGCAAAGTGGGCGTGGACTCTGGACAGAACTGTGGCACGCACACTGGGGGACCCTGGCTTCGGAAGACCTTGGTGAGCGCTCTCAGTGCGCCGAAGTACGGTGGTGTCGGGAACCCGAGAAGTGGGCAGGGTCGGGCAGGTCTCCAGTAAACCGGATTCCTGGACCGAGATTAAGCTCAGGGGCGCTGTAGCCCGCCCAGACCTGCAGCCCAGCAGGGGCCACTCACCGGAGCTGGCACGGAGGCTCGCTTCCGTTTCCGGGTCACGCTCCCCTCGCTCGGATCCCGGCGTACCCACTAACGGCGGCCCCTCGGTCCTGTCAGCTCCGCTACCGCTGTCGTTTCCGGATCAAACGATCTGACGCTTTACACTCCGCCCATACGCGGAATGCTGGGAAGTAGCGTGAGCGCGCGCATGCGCAGGGACGACCAGCACAAAGGCGCATGCGCAGTCCCCACAAGATCGCGCTAGCGAGCCCCGCCCCCGCGGGCCATGGTCGCGGCTGTATGACTGTAGTGCCCGTGTGCCCGCCCTGAAGGTCCCGCCTCCCACCGTGTTAGGACACTTCATCCGCAGAATCTTGACTTCTGCTCGAGGACTTGGAGAGCGTTAGGCAGGAGCCTCTCCCACGGGCCTGCACATGGCAGAAAGAGCAGTGCTAGCCGGGAGGGTGCTTTTTACCCTCTGCAGTCAGAGGTTGATGAAGTCCCCCATCCTGCCCAGATCAGCGGCCCCAGATAACACTCCCGAGCACACGCACACCTTACCTGGCCCTCCCGCCCCACGGAAGGACGAGGCAGAGGCCATGCAGTAACATTCCCCTTTAATAGCCTGCTATGATCTCCGGCGGTGGAAAGGGGGGTTGCCTGGGCCCAGCTAGCTATCCAGGCCCCTGGCCTTCACACCCCACAGCCCAGAGTCGGGGGCTGGAAAGCACCCATCGTGGGGCTAGACAAACCAATTCATTTCCCATCGCTGAAAAGGTCGGGGGTGGAAGTGCCGACCAGAATCAAGTGGTGGTTAAAAAAAAATACCTAGGGGCTGGTGGCAAGGAGGGGAGGCAAGGCCAAGGCAGAGATTCCTCCAAGGCCATATCCCACCCACCTCCCGTGTCCCCCAATAAATATTTGCAGGGGATGCCTGGGCTGGTGACCCTGGCAGGGTGGGTATGTGCAGACCCTATTTCAGGCAGCGCTCAAAATAGATGGAGCCAATGTAGCCACCTCGCATGGAGCGCTGCACGTTCTGCTCAAATAGCCGCCGGTTGTTCTGCAGGACTTCAGCGGCCTCCTTGTTCAGTGGGTCCTCGGGGTTAGGCTCCTGTAACCAGTATAAGTAGGGTTAGTTGGCCCAAGGGCAGAAGGCCAACATTCCCTGGCCCCAAATGACCACATCTACTCACCAAGAAGAGATACTGCAGGCCATAAATTATGGAGTTTATCGTAAGGACTGGCTTCCAGTCCTCTCTGTGGACAAAGAGCACCAGGGTGAGGTATACTGAGTAGGAATGAGATTGTCACAGGCCCTGCTGGTTGGTACTGGACAAGTCAGGTTCACAGAATGCAGAATGCAAGTATGAAAAGCCAGGGGAAGGCTTGGTGCAGGACAGGCCATGGGGAAAGCCAGTTAGAAGGATGACTTTGCCACAGTGGGAGGGAAGGGACAGTGATATGGTGCCCACAAAATGATGGGGGGGGGGTGGCTAACAAGTAGACCTGGGAAGGGCACTAGAGGGCCAGTGCTCTCACCTGAGGATGTTGAGGCAGACGTTGCCCTCGAGGTCAATGTTGGGGTGATAAACCATAGTCTCACACTTCACCTTGGGGGGGTCATGTGGGTAACCTTGGCCCACCTGACTCCAAGGAAAGAGAACAGAGGTGGGGAAGTGCTTGGCATAGTCTTAGCTGCTGCCTCTTTAGTCAACAGAACCACCTCTGCCCATTTGGGACTCACCTTAAAACTGAACACAAACTTTCCACTCTTATAGAAGCCCTGGATAGAAAAAAGAGAAAGTGGAATTAAAAGCCATTCATTATTTTACAGGGCCTGCACGTTTCCCTCCTCCCAGTAGAACCATCCTCATCTATTCCTGGGAATCCAGTCATATATGCTTTTACCTCATCAGGACAGATAACCAGCTTGAAGTTGAGGAGGTCGTCTGGGTCTGAGAAGCTGATGTCACACGTTTTGGGCAGGTTTAGTTCGTTTATATCTGTGTTGGGGAAGCAGAAGTAGGGGGACAGAAAGGGAGAGTAACAAAGATGGGCCAAGTGAGAGAAAGGGAGCTCTTGGCAGGTGTCAGCAGAGTGCCTATGGCCTCCTGTGTCTCCAGGTGGGCTCTTCTGGATACACATGCCAAATCTGTGTCTTCCAATGTTCCACCTTCTGGGACAAGATGAATCCTAATCCCTGAAACCCACAGCTGTCAGTGGCCCCAAACTGGCTCCCAAATGCCCCCAACTCACATGTGGCCTGCACCTCAAAGTTCTGGCCTCCAACAGCTTCTGAGCACTATAGACCTTAAACTTCCCAACCACGACCTCAACTCTGTTGTGTAACTGTCCACCTAAACCCAAGGACGCTGAATCCCCCCATCCCCAGTCCCATCACTCCCCTCAGAGTATTCCAGTTTCACTTCTTTGGGTGCATCCCAAACTCAGGTTTCTATGTAATCTTACACTCTCAAATCCTCGCCCCCAACTCCACTCTGATTCCGAGGTCTGCAGCATGATGGCCTATACTCTCTCTCTCCTACCTTTAGTAGTTAACTCCCCCAACTCCACATCCCTCTCTCCTCCACCTGTCACCCCAAACCCTGTCCAACCACAAATTATACGCTAAATCATCCTTCACTTGTGTCCCCAATTCCTGGCCCCTGCTACCCTTTCTCTTCTGGGTCTCGCCCCAAACCCAAGTTCGAGTCTGAACTTCTGTCTTTCAGCACCCCCAATACTCAGATTCCGGTTACCCAATGCCGGACGCCCGACCTCCCCAACAGTCCTCCCCTCCCCCGGCCCTGGCGACCACCGTGTGCCCTCCTCCCACGCCGCGGTTCTCGGCCCAGGCCCCCCACCTCGACCCAGTCCCACCCCGACGCCCTACCCTTCTGGATCCGCAGCTGCGCTGCCGACGCCTTCTTGCTGCTGCCCTTGGTGCCGCCAGCAGACTCCTCCTCCTTCTTCTGCTGCTTCAGCGAGAACAGCTTGATCATCCTGCCGCCGCCGCCGCTGCTGTCGCCGCCGCCGCGGGGCTCGGGACCCTGGCTACCGGCCCCCCGCCGCCTCCCGCGTCGCTTCCGCTCCTAGGACCCGCTACCGCGGCCTTCTTCGCCGCTGCCGCCGCCAGCCAGGCCTGCCGCGCTTCCTCGCGCGGCCCGCCTCGGCTCCCGTAGTCCGGCTCTGGCCTGGCCTGGCGCCTCGGGCTTCCTCGGCAGCACTCGGCTATTGTCGGACCCGCCTGGCCCCACCCCACTTCCCCGTCTCTCCTTCCCTTTCCCGCTCAGGTCTTGTGAGGCCCAGCGGAAGCTTTAGGCGCGGAGTTTGCTGAGTTTCCCCGTTTTACTGCTCCCTCAGAGAGGAGGCTGCGGTTCAGGGTGGAAGAAGGAGAGGCGGCAGCCGCAGTGGCAGCAGCGTACAGAAGAAGGATGGGCTTCCGCGCTTCGACGCGGAGGTCGGCAACGGCCTCGGGCGACTATGCACCTCGGATTTTTCCGTCGCCTGCCCGCTTCGGGTCTTCCTGCCCGGCCTGTCCTGTGCGCCTGCGCAGCCCCTAGCAGTTCAGCTACGGGTTTGGGATTCCGGCTTCTTCGTCAGGGTTCGAGTGTTTCCGTTTGCCTAGATGACGTTTCGGCTGTCCCGCAGTCACTTCCTGGGGTGCTCGCCCGCCGGGCAGGAAGCGGTACGTGCTGCCATCTTTGAGTGGAGCAGATGGTTGGCGCTAGGTCTCGGTCAGCCCATCTCTTGTTGCGCTTCGTCTCTGCGCGGTTGGGTCACATAAGGTCGTTTCACACAAGAGTCATAAAGAAAAGTCCGGGGGAGGCCGGGGACATTGGCCAGAGGGTACAGGGTAGAGCATCTCTAGTGTCCCCTCGCAAACTCAAGACTCCTTTTCGTGGAGATTCCAATCGAGGTAAACAAAACATTGTTTGATGGGCTAAGGAAGGAGGATTACTGAGACCAGGAGTTCTGGGACACGTAGCGAGACTTCATTTCTTAAAACAAGCAGACTCGTACCAGAGGTGGTGAGCACGGTGAAATTTACTGCCCAGGGTGGACTCGAGGGATGGAGTGCCCAGAGTTCGGGCCCAGACGCCAGAAGAAGCTCTGCTCCTTGTAGGTCCGCGCCAATCTGCTCCGCAAAAAAAGGGAGCTCTGGGCAGAGTGCTTGTGTTCTTTTGGGTCTTTGTCGTGTCTGGGCTTAGAATCTCTAGCTGGGCTTTTCTGCATACTCAACACCGTCACCAAGGAAATCAGCATTCTGGATGGGCGGTCCCCCTCCAACAAGCACAGAGTCCCTATCTGTCCGCTGCTTGCCCCCGCTGCATATCATCGTAGCCTCCTTTCTTCAGCCCAGGAGAACTGCGCTCTGGAGGGGCTGGGCAAGGATGGGTATGCAGACAGCTTAGATTTGGTGCTACATGACTTCCACCATCGATCCCTTACTCAGCTGTCTGTGTGAAGGGCTGTTTTGTTTGTTTTTGAGGGTCAGTCTGGCCTACTTGCCATGTGGGTCAGTCTGGCCTTGCACTCACTTTGTATCCCAGGCTGGCCTCATAACTCACAGCAGTTCTCCTGCCTCAGCTCCTAAGTGCTGGGATTACAGGTATGCCACTACACTTGGTTTGTGCTGATTATTTTCCAACAAGTATTTTCACAGGACCATTGACCTGATGGTGGTTTCAGTGCCCAATGTTCAGTGGTTCCCGTTGGCCAGCCTGGTCTGTGTGTGCCATCCTCCAGTTCATTGTTGAGGCCTACCTACTAGGGCCCATCTAGTAGTGGATTATTGGTCCCCAAGTAAGGGATGCTTTTTACCCAGAGCTAGGCCTCTGTGGTCTCCATCAGATTTCACTATCCATCAGGAAAAATGGGGTCATAAGGTTCAGACCAGGAAGAAAGGGATGGCCATATGGGAGCCAGGAACTGAGCTATGTGTGCAACTATGCACATACATAGGAGTTAATACAGGGAAGCCTGTAGTTTTCGATGTGAGGGGCAGGAGAAAGCAAGGGAGTCTGAGTGGAGGTGCTATGAACATAGGTGGTTGGAACCAGGGTGCTGAGGAGAGAAGTAGATAGAATCAGGGATTAGGTTTAGGTGAGAATAACTACATAAACAGCATTGTGAAGAGCACTGCTGGGTTTAAGGGCCAAGAGTAGGGCAGCAAGTAGTGGTCAGGCACTTTTTTTTTTTGTCTTTTTGAGACAGGATCACTGACCTTGCACTTGCCAGGCAGGTGCTTATGCCACTGAGCTAAATCCCCAGCCCGGCTTTTTTGGTACCAGGAATCAAATTCAGAACCTTGAGCTTGCTAAGCAGATACTGTGCCACTGAGCTATATCTCTGGTCCTGGCCAGGCAATTGTTATAGCTGTTCTACTGACTAGGGCCTGTGGGCTTTCTCCTAGCTTTTTTTTTTTTTTTTGAGGGGAGAAGAGTATGGGGATTGAATCAAGGAGTATTCTATTACTTTGCTATACCCCCAGACCTTTTTATTGTTTAACTTTTAATTTATTGTAGTATTGGGAATTGAAATATCCCCAGTTCTTTTATTAAAACATGTTTTTTTTTTAAGTTTAACTTTTTTAGGCAGGATCTTGCTATGTAGTCCAGGCTGGCCTCAAATTTGAGGCATTCCTCCTACCTCAGCCTCCTCAGTGGTGGGTTATACGGATATACCACCACACCTGGCCATTTGAGATAAGTTCTTGCTGAATTGTGCAGGTGGACTTGAACTTCAGGTCCACCTCCTGTAGTTTCCCAGAGTGCTGGGAGTACAAGCAGTACCACCATGGCTGTGTTATTTTTTAAAGTTCAAGAGTCTTGCTAAGTGTTTTAGGCTAGCTTCAAAGCCTACTGCCTCTGCATCCTGAGTAGCTGGAATTATATGTGTGTGCTACCATACACCAGCCTCTAGATTGCTCTTACAGCTGTGACTGCAGGGATGAATGGCTGTTCTGCTCAGGCTATCATTTCTGTCACTTGGCTGCTGGGCAGCCCATCATCACCCCTCTTTGAATCTGGATTCTGTAGATTATGGCCCAGCATCTTTGGTGATTGGAGGGAATGGTGCTATGAGTATAGGTAGTAGAGAGTCCAGAGACCATTCACTGTGTCACATAAGAGTGGCTTCTGGTTCAGGCTGGCTTGTATGCTTCCCCTGAGGCCAGGACCTGGTCAGGGAGATAACTTAAAGTGATAGGAAAGTTCAGCTACCTCTGGAAGCAGCTTGGACACACAGGTCTCATGTTCTTGATCCTGATACTACATAGACAAGTCAAGCTGACACCCACCCAGCATAGGCCCTTGACTCAGGTTTGGGGCTCAAGCATGAGGAGGACCCTCTGACCCCTGTTACTGGTACCCACCAAGAGGAGGAAGCAGATTGTGTCAAGAGTCTGTTCAGAGGGAAGAGGAACATGGCTAGGATATCTGAGGCAATGGGACAGTGTCCTGGGGATGCCAGATCTGAGTCTGTGATACTGGCTCCATATCTGTCTGCATCCACATAAACTGTCATTTCACTGTCTATGGCACTTGCTGAATGCCCAGGGATGGAGACTTCCCAGGATGAGGAGGAAGCTGTGGGTGATGAAAACAATCATCAGAAGGTGGAGGAACTGGTCATAGGCCTGCAGCCTGTGCTCCCCAGACTACTGGGGACCCACGTGCAGGGTACTCCATCCTCAGTACTGCTGGTTGTAAACACACAGGAACAGAAAATCTCCCAAGTGTCTGAACTTCCAGGTAACATCTTCCAGCCTTTAAACCCAGAAAATAGCTTCCTAGGTTTTTAGGAGTCTTGAAAACACGTCCTCAGTCAGGATCTCACTTGCCAACTGTCAGTTTACTAATTCTGCTGCATCTGATGATGTTGACTGGCTGAGATGGGGACTGGGCTAATTCAGGTCATCTCTTGGGGGCTAACTCCAAGGACAGTCATGGTGGGAATGGATATACAGGTTCAAGTCATCACAGGCCAGGCAAGGGGCCACCCTGAAAATTGGGAGTTGGTGTGGTCCTTGTGACTAAAAGGGGATGGATCCTGGATTCACAGCTGATAAACCGCACAGGGCCACTGATGGGGAGAAAGCTTTTGGCTGTGAGTATTGTGAGAGTAGGGTGTTAGTACAATGAAGGTGATAGAACAGCTGAATTGGGAGTAGAGAGGTGGTATCAGGAGCTACCAGCCTTGGCTTTGGTCAAAGTGGTGGACTTGGTGAGCTTTGCAAGTCAGGAATTCTGGGGACTGGAGTGTTCTAATTCTTGTGGGGAGGGGTGGCCTTTGTGTTGAGGGAATACAAGGGCTGGATTGCTAGTTAAGCTCCTGTCTCTGGGGTCTGTACTTGTCTACCTGGGTCTCACTGTGCAGGGCAGGGACTCTACAGATAGATCCCCTTCAGCTCAATCTGTGAGGGATAGAGGCCACTGGGGCTAGGGGGCAACAGCATAATGCAGTCCTTCTGGGAGCAGCACATTTGTTACATCCTTGTCATCCAGGTCACTAGATTCTTAAAGGAATCACACAAATGCCTCCTCATCAGGAATCTTGGCCTAGGCCCAGCCTCTAGGGGCAGCCTAGGGCCAGCCAACAGCCCAAAGGGTCTCCATGCTGGCTAAGACTTTGGAATCAATCCTGTTGGCAGTACCTTCTCCTCAGGGACTCCTCTAAATTCCACCTCCTGGACAGCTTGACTACCCTTTTCAGTTCCTCACCAGCCACCTGCCATCCACTTAGCACCTCTGTTGAGACATCTGTTGTGGTTGTCTACATTAAACCTCGTTGGTGGATGCTCACAGAGAACAATTTTCTCCTCTGGGGGCTGTCCTCTGGGACACTGGCTGCCCCATAGAAGGCAAGACTCAAAGAACGTGCACTGCACAGGTGACACCGCAATCTCTGTCCACCATTTATTGAGCGCCTGCAAGGCCCAGTCTGCGCTATGCTGCTACTCTGCACTGTGCACACGCTGGTGCTGGAGGAGTTTGGTACTGTAGTGGAAGCGGCGACCACAGTCCTGGCAGGCGAAGGGCCGCTCTCGTCGGTGTGTGCGCATGTGCTGTGTGAGCGTGGGCCTCTGGCGGAAGGCCTTGCCGCACTCAGGGCAGGCATAAGGCCGCTCACCTGTGTGGATGCACCGGTGCTGTGCCAGGTTGGCACGCTGACGGAAGTGCTGGCCACAGTCAGCGCAGGTGAAGGGACGCTCGCCGGTGTGTACACGCTGATGCTCGGTGAACCGCGACACCTGTGCGAAGCTCAGGCCGCAGTCATCACAGTGGTGCGGCTTCTCACTGTTGTGTGTTCGCTGGTGGTGTGTGAGCTTGAGCCGCTGACTGAACCGCTGGCCACAATCTGGGCAGGCGAAGGGCTGCTTGCCTGTATGCACACGCAAGTGCTGCGTGAGTGTGGGCCGCTGGCGGAAAGCCTTGCCGCATTCAGCACAGGCAAAAGGCCGTTCGCCTGTGTGGATGCGCTGGTGCTGTGTGAGGTTGGAACGCTGACGGAAGCTCTGCCCGCAGTCGGCGCAGATGAAGGGGCGCTCGCCGCTGTGCACGCGCCGGTGTTGCAGTAGCACAGCCCGGCGGCCAAAGCGCTCGCCACACTCTGTACAGCCAAAGCACTTATCCCCGGTGTGCACGGCTTGATGTTCTAGTAGCACAGTGTGGCGTGTGAAGCTCTCATCGCATTCGCTGCACGGGAAGGGGCCTGGGGGCTCCGGTGCGCCAGCAGCGGCAGGAGGCATGGGGCACGCGCCTGGGGGGTCACTGTGCATGCGTTGGTGCTGCAGAAGGTTGGCTTGCTGGCGGAAGCGCTGGCCACAGTCGGTACAGCGGAAGGGCTGCTCGCCGGTGTGCACGCTCCGGTGCTCCTCCAGCTGTGTGCGGCGTGCAAAGCTCTGGCCGCAGTCGCAGCACACGAAGGGCCTCTCCTTTGAGTGGGTGAGCTGGTGGCGCAGCAGGTGCGAGCTGCGGCTGAAGCTGCGGCTACACTCATCGCACACAAAAGGGCGCTCGCCTGTGTGGATCTTCTGGTGCCGCAGCAAGTTGCTGCGTTGACTGAACACCTTGCCACACATGTCGCAGCGACCACCCCGGCCTGGTCCAGTACCCGAGTTAGGCCTGCCTTGGACCTGGACTGAGTGCCACAGGCCTGTGGCTGGGCGGGGATCTTCTTCGTCTGTGCTGTGGTTGCTGTTGCGCGAGGGCCGGCCCAAGTCCCAGGGAAGCTGGAGGTGTGGGCTCAGTGCTGCCAGCCCCACGGAATCTGTTTGGATCACAAAGCCTGCATGGAGGGAGCCCTTCCGGAGACAGGGCCCTCTCCCAGGACCCACATAAAACTTGGGAACAAGGGCTCTATCAGTGTAGGCTTCTCCTAGGGGACTGTGGGACAGAGCCCAGGATGAGGAGGAAGGCTGGGGCATGTGAAAAGACCGTGTCTGCTTAAGTCAAGCATGGGGTGGGCACCAGGATAAAAGTGGGCAGGTGGCAAGACCAGTAGAAAGGGATGGGCAGGGAAGCCAGGCTCCTGAGCTTTGTCTGAGAAACCTGGGGTACACCTGAGCAGACTGCACACAGGTTCTGGGAGCCTGCACACAGGGACCTGGACCTGCAGATGACCAACACAGAGCCCGACTCTGCAGTAGGGATGTGGGGCTAGCCATGCCCATCATGTGCATCCTGTGTCAAGAGACTGGGTGGGGGAGAAAGTGTCAGCAAAGGTAACTGAGGAGAGGCTGGAGGTTACACCAAGAAGACAGAATAAAATACAGAAGAATAACAAAAGGACCAAAGGAGTGAGGGCCATAGCAGACTATAATCCATTAGCCATCTCAGAAAAGTCAGATAAATATAATTCATCAAAGGAATCAGCTAAATCTTAGGGTCAAAGGACAAGTGAGAATTTAGGAAATTTCTCAGAGCCAACAGCTAATTAACTTCCTAAGAGTTTCAGTAAATAACAAAGACACTTGGTCAAAGTATGTCAAAAGAGAGATGTAACTGTTTAAGCCCATCAAATATGCTCAGTCATCCCCCTCCCCTCTCAGCCATACTTTGGTCTAGTAATCCTTTTGTAGTTTTTGAGACATGATCTCACTGTGTAGTTCAGGGTGGCCCTGAATTCATTATTGTAGCTCAGGCTGGTCTGGAACTCAGAGTGACCCTCCTTCCTTAGCCTCTTAAGTGCTGAGGTTATAGGCCTGTGCCACCATGCTCAGCCTGGCCTAGGAATTCCAACTGCACTTTTAGGTGTTTCTCTAACAGCCATGTTCCTCTTTGTGCTAAATGATCTTTGTGCAATTTTAATTTTTCTTGTGGTGTTCAGGAGTAACCTGAGTCCATCAGGTATTAAGCTGCATCCTTGGCTCTTTTTAAATTAAGTAATTAATACTGTTATTATTTTGTGGTACTGGGAGTTGAGTCTAGGCCTTCATGATGAATTGCATTCTAAGTCCTTAACATTTTTTTAAATTGTGTGAAAGGGTGTTGCTAAATTGCTAAGTTGCCCAAGGCATGGTTCAGACTGGTCATCTTCCTGCTTCAGCCTCCAGAGCCCAGGGATTGCAGACATTTGCCATATATTTGTCATGCACAGTGCTTTCCAGTGCACCAAAGAGAACCCAAAAGTACTGTATGTCAGTAGGATCCGAATGGACAGATAAAATTGTGTTCAGAAGTATCACAGTGCTCTGTGGGGCTTTGCAAAGACCTAGGGCGCCCCCTGCTGTTCTCTGAAGTGAGAAAAGCCAGGTGAAAATTGCTAGGTTTAGGACAGGGTGGGTAATAGGTAGTTTTTTCTTTTTACTACATGTGGATTCTTTTTCTGTACTGGGTATTGGAACTCTGGGCTTTTGCACTGAGCTACATCCACACCCCTTTCCTGGTTTCTTTTGTTTTTTAATTTTGAGCTGGGCATGGTGGTGTGGTACTTGGATTGCTGTGAGTTTGAGACCAGCCTAGGCTACACAGTGACTTTTAAGGCCATACAACCAAAAAAAAAAAAAAAAAAAAAAAAAAAAAAGGAAATCAGCCTGTGCTCATCAGTTATGTAATATTTAACTACTTAACTATAGGAATAGTTTAAAGAAATGTATTCTTAAGTGATTCTGTTGTGTGAACATCACAAGTAATGGCTATGTCAGTAGCAATCTTTCTCTGTGTGTGTTTGGGATTGAACCTAGGCCCTCACATGGGGTAAGAATGTACTCTGCTACTGAGCCACACCCCTAACTCCAATGGTCAATGTAACTTTTTTTTTTTTTTTTTAAAGACAGGGTCTTGCTATTAGGTCAGGCTGATCCTGAATTTACTTTGTAGCGCAGGATGGCTTCTTGCAGCAATCCTCCTGCCTCAGCCTTCTGAATGTTGGGATTACAGGTGTGCATCACCACACCTGGCCATATAATGTTGCAAAGCACGATTGTGTGTTAGTAAGTGAACCTCTATGAATCACTGGTCCTGGCTGAGGCCCACAGTGGCCTGTGATGCCAGAGATACCTCAGGAGGCAGGATATGGACATGGCTGAGGATACCTGGCTCACACACCAATTGAGAGACTGCAGCTGCAGGTATCTCACTCCTGCAGTCTCACTCCTACCATAAATGTCATTATGGAGGTAAGATGATTCTCCTAAATTGGCATAATTTACTATGAAGTGACTCCCAAGGTCCTGCTCATTTCCCGAGCTTTGTTCAGTATCCTTGCTCTTTGTTTGGAGATGGAATAAATATGGATGGTACAGAGAAGCTGTTTGTCTTAACCCTTGTGATAGCCGCAGAGTCAAGAACTCTGAAAGAGGGTTTTAATCCTCCTTCAGCCCTAAAATCATACCCTTTGTCTCATTTATTTAAGCCTTTGATGTACACTGTTAGGGAGATTGGGGAACTGGGTTAGACCCCAATAATAGTGTTTGTGGTTAGGGTTGGCCAAAACATTGTTATGTGGCATATGACTGCATATACATGAGTTTGCTCCTTTGCATAGACTCTTCCTAAGAGGACACAAAAGAAACTGACAGTGTCAAGCCAGATGTGATGGTGCTTAGATACATACTAAGCTAGCACTGGAAAAGCTCAAAAGAAAACAAAAACCAAGCCTGTTTTACTCTCAAGGTTCTATTTGTTTGTCTTTTATGGACAGAGTCAGGCTGAGCTTGAACTTGTGGTAATCCTCCTGCTTCAGCCTCCTGAATGCTGAGATTACAGGTGTGGGCCACTATGCCTGGCACTCCCAAGGTTCTAAAAGTCCATGAGTTGGAGGCACCAGGCATCTCTGGTCAAGAAGCTCCAGGACTGGGGTTGGGCAGGGCTCTGCTCTGGGTTCTTCACAGAATGCTTAGCCCACAGTGTACCCCTCATGGCTCTGATTCCTGGGTTTTCCTCCATCTTAACAGAAGGCTGTGTTGAGGTCAAAGCACACTGAGAATGTGGAAGTTTAGGGAGCAGTAAGTCTGGGTGCCAAGACATTACAGGAACCTGATTGGGAACTCAGAGGAAAACCTAATGGAGTTCACAACAGAGACCCTCAGCCAGATTACCCTATGACTCTTTCAGTGACAACTACTTAGATTTTGGACCCTGCTCACCTCCCTCCCAGAAATCAGGGTTCTTAAGAACCAGTTCTTCCACATCCCCCAGACCTTATACCACAGATAGTAAGATCCACATTTAAACAACTTGGGAAAAAGGCCATACTGGGAGAAGAAAGCTTAGTGAAGCAAGTCATTGCTGTCCTCAGAGAGATAACTGATAGAACAACAGGAAGCAATTGTAAAAGTGAACATCTAAAGAGTTAAAATTCTTTTGGAGATTAAATAATTGCTAGCAGAAATAAAAATCTCAAGTATCAGAGATATAAATATGACAGGTGACTGAGGATTTAGTTCAATGTCATAAGCATCTGGCTGGCAAGTGTGAGGTCATGAGTTTGATTCCCAGTACCGAGAGAAAGAAAGAGAGAGAGAGAGAGAGAGAGAGAGAGAGAGAGATTCAGACAGACAGAGACAGACATCTATCTCAGAAACGGAATAAAACAATGGAGGGAAAGAAACATTTTAAGGCAGCTTTCTACAACTGAAAGATGTAAACTTCAAACTGAATAGGTTCATTAAGAATACTGATAGAAAGCTCTGACATTGAGCTAATAAAAATAGTTCTGAAGCTGGGTGTGATGGTACATGCCTGTAATCTCAGCACTTTGGGAGGTTGAGGCAGGAGGACAGTAAACTCAAGCCCACTCTCGGCAATCTAGCAAGACTCTGTCTCAAAAAATAAATGTAGGACTGGGGATATAACTTAAGGTAAAGGTCCTATGTTCAATCACCAGTACAGTACTTGGAAAAAACCCAAAAACAAAAAAGAAATTTGGGGTTGGGGAGGTATATTGTAGCTCAGTGGTAGAGCACTTGCCTAGCATGTGTGAATTCAATTGCCAACATAGGTAGAAAGCATCTTCCAATCAAACTTCCATCTAATGATACAATGTTAAAGATTAGACAAATATGTTTTAGGTATGTAACAACTAAAAATCCACAGGAAGCCCTGTCAACACAAAGAGTAAACTAAGATAGGAGATCATGGTCAGGATCCTAGTTTTTCCTTGCTAGGCTCCTCTGCTGTGTCAAGGCCTCTTCTGTTCTATCAACCTGCTCCTCATACCACAACTGGACCTTTTCTGCCCTGATACCTGACCAGCAGAACCTAGGATACCAGGACTGGAAGAGGATGCCAGTATGGGAAACACAAGCTTGATTCTCGAGAGAATCAAGAGAACCCACTGCCTCCTCATAGCAGAATCCCCGGAAGCGCAGGCGTGCAGCCTCAGGTTCCAGATCCCAGAGAGCAGGTTTATGGTTAGGAGGAGCCATAGGATCCATGGCAGAGTGGTCTGGAGAAGAGGAAGTTTGGGTACCTGGAGAGAGCAGCCTAGTTGTGCCGGGAACAGGGTAGATGAATGTGGGGTTCCAGACCCACCATGGCTCATGTTTCACTCACCTGGGAAGAAGAGGCCCCCAGAGTCCTCATGCCACAGGGCCCTAGGCTGCTCCCTCCATGAGGGCCCCTCAGGCCTGGTGTCACTGTGGGGAGAGGTCAGCTCCAGCGCAGTCTCGTATCCCTGAAACCACAGTGGTCACAGCTCATCTGCGGGGTGGGCATAGGGAAGGACTTACTGGCATTCACCATGGAGGCTTGAGGCAGGGAATAGGTTGCATTTTATGTATGGCTCACCTGGGCCTCAGGTAGGAGAGCAGGTACAGGTAAAGGCCCAGACTCCAGCAACTCTAGGGAGAAAAATGAGTCAGGAAGCCTGAAGATACTCCCACCCCACCACTCTTCTCAGTGGCATGACAGGTGCCAACATCCAAGTGCTAACCCAGGCAAGAGGGAAACCTGTAAGAGCTGAGGAATGGAGAGGGCAAGGTGGGGCAGCTGACAGCCTGGATTGGGCATGGGGAAATGGAAAGGACACTAGAAGTCCAGGGCTCAGACTGCTGAGGGCTGGGGTGGGCCTAAGGTTGAGCCTTTGCAGCCCTGTGCACGCAGGATGGCCTTGTATGTATGTCCACCCATGAATGGATATGTGCAATATGAAGGTGGATGAAGAGGGTACTTGCCACAGCAGCACCCATTTATACCAGCCTATTCCCTAGCTGCCAATGCATGTCCTTCACTGATCTGATATCAAGAAATCCTAGAGTCTGCTCTCTATTTGGGGGACAGCTGTAGAAATAGGGCTGTAGCTTGTAAGGGGCAGAGATGAGATGGTTGGACTAGAGAGGAAAACTGATTGGGTGGGAGGTATGAGCCAAGGCACATGGAAACCGTTTTGTCCAGCAGGCCCAGCCCACTTTGTTTGCTCTCACCTGGCTCTTCTGTAACCTCTGGTTCCTCTTTCACCTGAAATGCCAGTGGCAATTCCTCCACAGCCCCAGGAGGTGTCTCACGTCCAGGGTCTGGAGTTTGAGGTAAAGGCTGGAAGCTGGAAGGCTCCATCTTCTCTGACAGGACCTCCTGGCCTTGCACCTGGACTGTGACCTGGGGAGATGCCCCCACCAAGCAGAGAGTGGGACTGGGTACAAGTGGGATGGGGCTCATGGGTACCACTTCACTTTAGGACTCAAGTTGACATGCTTAGTACTGACTGATGCAGTCCTTCAAGATCCTACCTCTTGTAGGCCTGGAACAGGGAGCAAAAGAATCACCTGCAGGTTCTCTAACACCTATTGCTGCACAGTGCCCTCCCTTTCTCCCATTACCCTGCAGCCCACATATACACAGGATTTCAGCTAATGCGGGAATAGGCTATGTAGAACTCTCCTGCCCTGAGCAGCCTCACACAGGGTCTCTGATGTAGGTGGTCACTTATGTACTGTGCAGTATGTGTGTGTGGCTTGACACAGCACTCCCTAGTGTAATGCAAAGCAAGACAATGTTCCATCCCTGAACTTCCATGCAGGCCATTGACTCACCCATCTCCGAGGTCCACCTAGCTCCCATCGGAGCCTGTCAACCAAGTCAGCGGCCTCTCCAGGACTACTCGGCTGCCGCTCCTGCACTTGGGCCTGGATCTCAGGGGGTAGCACACCCAGGAATTGCTCCAGCACCAGCAGCTCCATTATCTGCTCCTTAGAGTGCAATTCTGGCTGCAGCCACTGGTGACACAGCTCTCGAAGCTGGACCAAGGTCTCCTGGGGACCCACTGCCTCCTCATAGCAGAATCCCCGGAAGCGCAGGCGTGCAGCCTCAGGTTCCAGATCCCAGAGAGCAGCTTCTTCCTCTTCCTCAGAATCCTCCAGCTTCACCATGACAGGTTCATTATCTTCTGGAGGTCCTAGCATGGTGAGCCTCATCAGGAACACCAGGTCAGGTCTGCCAAGTCAGTGTCTATACCTAGTGAAGGAACAAAAGGAGGCTGATGCAGTAAGGGGAAACTGGCAGTGAATGCATCTTGAGAATGTACTGTATGGTGTGTTGTTCAAACCACAGAACTGCCCCATGTGGAAGAGAGATGAGGAAACTAAGACACAGAGACCACAACCCAGGGACTTTTTCTGGAGTTTTCTTCAGCTTGGCTTGTGCAGAAACTCTGAGCTCTCCACCCCCACCCCAAACAGCCTGTTAAAAGCTGGGCATGGTGTCATACTCTTGTAATCTCAGCACTCAGGAGGCTGAGGCTGGAAGATCATAGTGAGACCCTGTCTCAAAATACCAAACTGAAAACAACTGAACTGAACCAAACCAAACCAAGAACGATAAAATCATCAGACTGTTTTCTAGGCCCAGATAACACTTCTGTGCACTTTATACTGCTCTTCAATATTAGTGACCTCATCCCTGCCCTCCCCCTTTACTTGATGGATGGCACCTGTATCAGCACTATTGTTGTCTCCTGTCCCCAGCGTCAGCTCCTCACTGTACTGTCAATGTGCCCACTCAGTCTCTCAGACTTGACCCCCCACTCAGGCCCCACTATCATTCACTCCTAGCCAGGCCCCAGGAGCATGTTTGTGTTATCTGGTTCCCATCCTAAAATGTGTAAACTCACCTGTGTGGCTCCACCCTACCAAGTGCTCCCACCCAACCAACTCTTCATGCCACACAATGGTCCTTCTCAGGCCCCAAACTGAAGTAAGAATAGGATGTGAAGGCCCAAGACCGCTGGGCCAGAAGCCTGCAATGATAGTTCAAGATTCTGATCCTGCCCGCTCAGGGCGCTGTGCCTCTGAAACGCAGTCTCCCCGTCTGCAAATGAGGCTGGCTCCTCCTCCATAGCAGAGCTTTTGTGAACATCTGAGTTTATTAACAGGATGGCACAGCAGTCATCCGTCCTTGGGTGTCATCTATTTCGAGGGCTGCCTGATATCAAGGGTAAAACCGCGGTCCGTAAGATTACAGGTGAACTTGAAACCCAAAGAGAATTTGGTTCATCCCGACGCGGGCGGGTCCGGGCTCAAGTTCCGGAAATACATTTCCCAGAAGCCTTGGAATACAGTTTCCGGTTCGGGCCGCTCTGGCGCCGCCACAGCAACCAAGGGCGGATCTTCCGGAACCTGGTCGTGGCCAGAAGCAGAGACTGAAGCTATTCGCGAGGCCTGCCTTCAGGGAGAACCAGCACTTCCTGGCCTTCCATGTAGCTGTAGTCTGAGTCTCATGTCTTCCCAGCTCCTACCGAACCTTCCCTAGAGAGAGGTCTCGCCCTCACCTCAACTCTCAGCGGGCCACGCCGCATCCTTGAGCATGAGCGCTCGCTGTGCTCCGTCCGCGGCGGACTACGTCTCCCAAGGTGCTCCGCGCCCCGTCAAGGGCCACCCCCCGCCCTTCCCCCATTCTTGTCTACGTTTTTACCCTCCCTCTAGTCCTGCACTCTGAGATTGCGGTGGCTGCGAGGGTCAGGGCGCGCTCCTGGCTGTCTCACGCTCCCCGCCTTCAATCTCGGAGTCCGGCCCCCGCCCATATGCGCAAGCTTCTTGGGGTGCAACTGACGGCCGTCTTGCATTCTTATTTTCGTCGATTCACTACGGGCCTTCCTGGGATCTGCAGGGTTTTGCACCAATCATGGCACTCACAAGGATGCCATCAGCCTGGTAGTTACTGTGGCAACCCCCAGCCGAGGTGTTTCTCTGCCATTTTTCGGGTCACGTAACCAAAATGCTTTCTGGGACATGTAGTCAGCGAAGATTGTATGCGTTTGCGCAGCGCCGGGAGGTGCGGCTGCATTCCCCGGCGGTGGGTGGGCCTGAGCGTCTCCATGGTAACCAGAAAACCGACCTAATAGTCTAACTAGTATAAGGACTGACTAGGATAAGGAGAGTCCCATCAGGAGAGACAGAGACGGGTACCGGCAAGCAGAGAAGCAGCTCAGAGGTGTGCTAGAGGAGGTGGCCGGAGGGAGATAGATGAGAAAGGTATAGTGACCTAAGAGACAGAGGCAAAGGCAGGGAGGGCAGACGTCAAGACCTGAGGATGGAAGCACGAGGGAAGAAAGAGATAGACATGGAACTACAGGAAGATGCTTCGACAGCCTTCAATGATGGGGCGAAAGATGACAAGAGAGGGAGAGCTGGAGGAAGAATTTTTAAGAAAATTTATCTAAAACTTGGTGCTAGAGGTATAGCTCAGTTGACACAGTGCCTGCATGACAAGTATGAAGTCGTGAGTTCAATTCCTGGTACCAGGAAAAAAAAAAAAAAAAAAAAAGCACAGTAAAACAAAGATATGAGCTGAGCATGGTGACACAGTGGTAATCCCAGAACTCTGGGAGGCTGAACGAGGAGGATCATAAGTTTGTGTCTAGTCTGGGCGATTTAGCCAGACCTAGTCTCAGAATTAGAAAAGGACTGGAAAGTGGCTCAGTACAAAGTGTCTGAGCTCAATATCCAGGATCAAAGAGTAGGGCACAAATTTTGGGGGGACAAGGGGGCATGAAAAACATTTTACTAAAAAAAAAAAAAAAAACAACAAAACATTTTACTATGCTGAGGACTAGGCTGTAACTGAGGCCGGTGTGACCTTGCCTTGGGAAAGCAGAAGTATGCAGAGAGCTGTCATGCTTCCTGGCTGCACAGAGAAGGCTCCTATCCTCAGACTTCTTAAGGCAACATAAGATCTGCTGAGGACACAGCACAGGTTGCAGGCATCTGGGGTATAAGGAAGAATTTTTTATTTATCACAGTCAAGTCCACCACATCTTCTTTTGTGCTCCTAGCTGATATGGGCAGGAAAATGACAGACTCCAAAAAATTTTTAAAAAGTGCTTTATTAGCTGAGCTCAGCGGCAGCACTGTCCCATAAAAGCAGCCAGGGAAGTATGCACCGAGCCAGGGGCTGCAGAAAGTTATAAAGTAGCAAGCCACAAGAGGAGGGGTCTTAGGATCAATTTGTCCCCATAAAAGGAACCAGAAAGGCCAACAAGCAGTTACAGAAACCAGGGAGGCAGGGAGAGGGTTACTTGGTGGGTATGTTACAAGGTTGCAACTTAACTTTTACAGGAAGAGAACAAGTTATAATAAATACAGCACATTTTGGTTTTTCGAGCTTTTAACATTCTCCACTGCTTTTGATCATTCAGTCAAATCTTTGACTCTGTTGCATAATCATATGTAGGTAACTGGTTATATCCTTTTTGTCTAAGTATAAACATTTTAACAGCTTGAAATCGGTCCTGATGTGATTTAGAAGGCATTTTATAATACATGGCCTGATGGTCAAAGCCAGTAAGAAGAGAACAATTGGTCCTATTAGAGCTGAGAGTAGGGTGGTTAACCAGCGGGACAGTGAGAATAGGTTTTGAAACCAATTCTGGTCATGTTCAAGGGACATTGTAACCCTTGTCCAAGAAGTAAGAGAAACTAAAACAGGAACATTTTGACAGTTTGAGTTTCAGGGGGTGCTCAGTCCAAGTAACAGTCCACTTATCAGTATCCTGGGTATGCAGAGGAAGGACCTTGATGTTCGAGTGATGTATCCAGGTGGGTTTTCCAGCTACCTTGACAGCCGTGGGAGTGCTGAGAACAACTGTGTATGGTCCAGTCCAACATGGTTCAGGGGAGGAATTGCGAGAATGGTGTTTGAGCAGCACTTGATCTCCTGGGCTTGTGGCCGGAGGGGTCTCTAGTGCATGTTGCTTGGCTTGGTCACAAAAGAGTTGATGGATGCAAGTCAGCACAGGTTGAAGAGCCTGTAGGGACTTAATTAAACTGCAGTTAGCAGTCTGCCAAATGAGTAGTATCAAGGCAGGGGGTTAGGGGTGCCCTTGGACTGCCTCAAAAGGCATTTATTTATATATGGAGTACAATGTGCATGCAGGAGGGGAAAGGGAAGGAGACTCACCCAGTTTTCGCCAGACTCTAAAATCAATTTGCTAAGCATCGCTTTCAGATTTTGGTGCATCCTTTCAACTTGACCTGAACTTTTTTCATATAAAAGCTTTTTAAAAAAAATTTTATTTAAAAGAAAAAAGAGAAAAAACAAAACAAAACAAAGCAGTGTAAGGGTACAAGTAATACAGAACTACAAAAAAACCCAGTAAGAAATCACTGGTTAATAGATTACATATTATCTTAGAGATAGTTGCTCAAACATATAAAAGCTTTTTGACAACAATTGAGGCCGATTTGGTTTTCGTCGGGTATCCCTCAGTCCAACCAACTAACAAAGACCCTGCTTGACAAGAATCAATATGCATATTACAAAGAATTGGGCCATTAGAAAAAGGATTGTCCAAAGTTAAAGGCCAAATTAGATAAATGGGGAACCACCCTTTGGGTTTTATTGGAAAAAGATTGACAATTTCAGGGTTCATTCACTCCCCCCCCCACCCCGAGCCCTTGGTAACCTTAACTCTGCATGTGTGGTGGAACCCATAGATTTTCTGGTTGGTACTGAACTTTGCTGAGCTGGCACAACCCTATTTGGAAGTCCTACCCTTCTTTTGCATGTCATTGAGGGTCCTTTTGGCATATGTCTCTGACTCTTTTATTCTGCATGGGCCCTGAAGTTGTTTTGTGGCCTGGGTTTGGCCCTCAAAAGAAAACTACCCCAGGAAGGCTGAGCCTTGGGTAGAGAGCTATGTCATTCTGCCTTGGCTGGGTATTGTGTGTCAATGCCTGGTGTTGTCCTATGTCCCTTACCTGTAGAGATGTTTCCCATCCCAGGAACTGGTCATTGGTAGTCCTAATTTACAGAATAGGAAGAGATGTTGACAGGGTGCTCAGCACCTCTGCCATTGGATTATGTTGAAGGTTGCATCATGGGTGATTTTGCAACACTGTTGTGTTGGTGAAGCCCCTTCCATTTTATCATATGGACTTCCCCTTGGAGGGCAGCTTTTTGTTCCTAGGGATCCTTCTGCTCATTGGATTTGGTAATAACCATCTTCTAGTGCAGAATAAGCCATCCAGAGGGCTATGTGAATAAAAATTACATGACATGCTATGCATAAGGTTCTTTCATGTGTGAGATGCTCCTGGCAGCTGGGCACACAGGGTCTCCTTGATGGGGCCTCCATGGTGTGAAGATGCAGGCACCAACCTTGGTCCTGCTGACTGTCAAGGATGCAAGCATGCCATGTGCTGTGGGCCAAAGAAAGAGACTCTGTCCTTGAGGCTGTCTGGCTTCTGTTCCTGGAGCTGCTTGATGAGTCTTCTGCATGCATCACATGCAGGTGGTTACTGCAATGGAAGACACTACCTAGGTCAAGAGTTGATGCTTAGCATCTTCCTGGAAGTGTTCAGTGAGTGTCACTCCTGGGGCCTTACAACATTTAGGCACCCTTCACGGGACAATCTTGAGGCTTAGGATGCTTCCCCCAGGTTCCTCCAGTCATCCAGGTGATCTCTTCTCGATCTCCTCATCCTGTAAAGGTGGGTGGTATGGGCCACAAGGACTGGCATCTTCCCTGACTCCCTTTGGTATGGGCTGTACCTGCCCATATTTGGGAGCATCTTCTTTTGTCCTTCAGTTGCGGTTATGCTGGCTTCTGAGTTTGGCATCTTGTTGCCAGCAGGAGCCCTAAAGCTACATGCTTGCCCTGCCCTCACCTTTGCCACTTCATTCCTTGAAACGGAGTGGGGTATACTCTGCTGATGAACAAGAGTTTTGTCTCACACCTTCCCTGAAGTTAGGACACACACCCAGCAAGAGAGCTGAGTGGAAGTTGTGGGCAAGTGCCCATGTGGCAAGGAAGGGCACTACTTTCCGAGTGCCCCCCTTTGAATACCTCTCTGTCTGCTGAACACAACCCCTCCATGCTGCAGCTGGGGAACCTCTTTTGATCCACCTGTTTGGACCCAGAGGGAAAGTCAAGCAGTCCAAAAACTAAAATTGCCCCTTGCCCAGAATTGACCCTACCAGATTTGACCAAACCCTTCATTGCAGAATGAGGAATAGCTAAGGGAGTACTGACTCAGATGTTGGGACCATGGTGCTGCCCAGTTGCTTATCCCTCAAAAAGGCTGGACTCAGTTTCTTCAGGATGGCTGAATTGCCTTCAAGCCATTGCAGCCACTGCCTTGATAATAAAAGAGTAAACTAACTCTTGGACAGTAAAAGATAGTAAATTAACTTTTGGACAGAAAATCCAAGTTGTGGCTCCTCATACAATTAAAACCCTCCTCAGGGCCCCACCAGACATATGGCTGTCAAACATGAGGATTGTACAATACCAGGCTCTCTTGCTTAACTCTGACCTTATTGAATTCAAGGAGACTGTTGTCTTAAACCCAGCAACCCTGCTGCCAGATGATGACCACAGGTACCCTTCAATGATTGCATGGCTTTGCTCTCTACCACTGCCAGTCTTGGTTAAGACCTTACTGATCTTCCATTAGAGAATCCAGATGGTGACTATTTCACTGATGGTAGCAGCTTCCTTTTTGAAGGTAAATGGGTGGCAAGGGTGACCGTAACCACTCAAAACATAAGTAATTTGGGCCCAACCCTGGATCAAGGTACCTCTGCTCAATGGCTGAACTCATTGCCCTCACAGAGACCCTAAAGTTGGTTAAGAATCTAAGGGCAACTATCTACATGGATAGCCATTATGCTTTTGCTACTGTTCATGTACATGGGGCAATCTACCAAGAGAGGGGGCTTTTAACCTCTGCTGGTTCAAAAATTAAGAATGTTCCTTTTATCTTGGACTTGTTATTTGTTG